CTCATATCATTGTGGGAAAATTCTACTACCAGTCCTTCATCACCTTACACAAAATAGGGTGAATACATCTAATATAACTTCATCTCACAGATTTACAGCAGGTAAGCATCAATAGCAGCGTAGTTAGGGTTTTTTAAACAGGATTCATAGCACATCGCCGATAACCTAAGTTCTGATTCAAATTATGATAGATTAAATGATATAGCATAGTTACATTTCGCTGCCACAATCGATGGTTGATATATCATAGTTTAAAAAGAGGTTTTTTAAAAAGGTTAACTTTAATACGTCTTCAATTTCAACATACTTCTCTGGTCACATCCAGACAACTACTTTACCTTTAGAATAAAATAAACAAGGGAAAGGTGAAGCTTAAGTGTATATATAACGAATTTTATTTAACATTAGTCTGAGAATATTTCAGCAAATGAACATAAATTAAAACCTTCATATGAAATCCAAATTTATTCATGCATAAATTAAAACAAGTGAATGTAAAAGAGAAAAACAGTTGAAAAATTTATTAAGATGAAAGCCTAACTATGATTTTAATGGCTCGATAAATTTGGATCATAATCTAGTCTGTAGCTTAATAAGACTCCCTATAAACTCACCATGTTTGCTAATCACTTCCATAAGACTAAGAAAAGTGAGACTGATGACTAGATTAGCAAGCCAGTTGACAGCAGTAGCCATTGCGTTGCCCTGCCCACGGGCCCAATTAGGGTAAATTTCCGAGTTTATTGTCCACGGGAGGGGCGAGAGACCAGGTGCGAAGGCAATAAGATAACTTATCAAAGCTGCAATAGTAAGCCAAGATAGTCGGCTTGGTGGACAAAAATCAGTGAGCCAGTGGAAGTTGGACTGCTGGAGCAAATGCAAGGATTAAAAATACAAGACGTTGAAGGTGAGGAGTAAAATGGATACGAAATAAATACGAGATGAAAAATCAAGTCTGGGTGGCCTAGGATAATTTTCTACTAATGTCACAGGAAAAACACTGTTAACCAGGGCTAATGGAAGAAATTTCTCAGCCTACAGGCGACAAGGTTCCCAAAAAACCAAAAAGTCCATTTATGGCCACCACTTAAAATGTGGCATAACCAATCTAAAAAAGATAACCTTTCGAAAAATTATGAATGACACTTTATGATGTACACGTTCTTGAGAAAGATTTTGCTTGCCAATTTGGCAAAGAGTAAAGCTGGCCACAGTGACAATCAAGAGAATATATACACACACAGCCATATTTTTATTATCAGAGGTAACATCAAATATCACAAAAAGTTCTTGACCTAGAAAAGGATACCCATTCTGCGATCATTATATCTTAGTATGTTTATCAGTGTAATCATAACACCAGTTTGCACCGAGCTGTAACTATTTTACTTTAAATGGTAAATAGTACGAACGTGGAATTTGGCTATGGGATCATGTTTGTCCACAATTTAGGCAAATAACTATATTTTAAATCAGAGGGGCGCTTAATTCAAGCTCTTTTAATACGTAAATTATTTGCTAGATATATGGATGATTACTTTGTAGTTTGGCAACACAGCAGACAATCTAGATAAGTAATATAATAGAAGGGAAGACGAAAATAATGAAATTATAAAAAGATAATTACCTATTAGCGTGAATATCCTAATTGGCAAAGGAAGCAAAGTGGATAAGGATGTGTAGAAGAATCCATAAACGAATATTATTTTGAATGTATTTAAAAATCATAAATAGGGTTGATGTAAGAATGCTTGAGATCATGATAATTAGGAGCCTGCGTATCGCAGATGTTAATCAGTAAGACCCAAAGATTAAGAGAATAAGACAAAAATTTATCAAGAAAAATAATTAATCAGGATTAATAGATAATTATTTGAGTAGTAGGAAATAGCATTGAGGGAAAAGTCCATTTGGGACAAGAGAGAATTGAACAGTTTTACCAGGATCCTGATTTTACCAGGCTGTCATTGCGCGAGAAAGATAAGCTGAGGAAGTGGAGCATTGATAAGCACTTGATTTTAGGTAACCCTCCTTTTATTTTGAAAGGGCAAATAAAAGGGACCTGCAAATTGGCCTCACAGAAAGCCATCACCTTAGATTTGTGATTGCTGGATTGTGCGAAGACCTCGGCTCACCGTCCTGAAACTCCTATAAAGCTGTGTCATGCTTACCTTAAGTGCATTCAGTTAAGTAAAGTTGATACATGAAGAGGACGTAGATGTAATCACATCCGTTTACTTAAATAAGGTTATGCGCGAATTCGGTAATATCTATTTTGGAGAGTTGTACATAAGATATTATCTAAGCACAAAAGTGGCTACAAAGAATTGAGTAAAGAAATCGATGGCTAAACATACATTCAATGCCAAACACCAGGTATAGTAGAATGAAAAATTAACGTTGTGCAGAATATGTTGACTCAAGGTTAGGGGTAAGATCGAGTAAGTGATAAACAAAAAAACTAATAACACCACGAGTAGGAGAAAGGAACATGGGAAAGTAAACGAGAACTACCTCAGGCTATTAAAGACTTGAAGGGGGAGCAACAACAGGAGCCACCGATTAAGGGGAATTTGACTAACCTGGAGTATGGGCGTGCCAACATTTTTAATTAATTTAAGAG